CAACGTAGTTTCGGTTATGTTCATTTCTAAAGAAGGACGGAGGACCTAGAGACCACTCTCAAGTTCTGTATAGATAAGGAATTTGTTATTCAGTTTGATAGTAACCGTATCATTAAATATAACAGATTAACCATCCTTACACAATTTTGAAACTGAAATCAAATTTCTTCTTAGTAACGGTACATAAAGACAATCTTTAAGCATTACAATTCCTTCTCTAAAAATTAAATCTATAGTTCCTATAGCTATAGCTGCAACTGTTGCAAAAGTCCCCAAGTAAAGAACCACATCGTCATCATTCAGCCTTTTTCTTTCTTTGAACCCCTGCAATGTATTACTTGCATGAGTAAAAGCCCTGGAATCAATACACCAGGATGCAAAAGTGACCAACAAATTGGTCTTTATGACAAGAGATTCAAAATTACCTTCTTTATTCTTGGATTCCAGATATTGAGGACAGTTCATCTTCCAATGTCCGGTCTGTTTGCAGAAGTGACGCTCATTAGATGACTTATCTTTCTTCTGCCTTTTCGGCTTGCCCGCTTTCTTCTTAGGCATCTTCTTGCCCTTCTTCTTTCTTTTGCCCAATTTGCCACCTTCAACAAGCATGGCTACCGGCTTATCTTTCTTAATCAGGTCTTCGGCTCTCTACAACATATTGCTGAGTTCCTGAAGGCTAACATTTAGCTTGTTCATGTTATAGTTCATGACAAAYTAATTGAAGGAGGGAGGTAGAGAGTTTAGGATGGCATCAGTTTTAGTGTCATCTTCGAGTTGGGATCCAAGAGCCTCCAATTCGTTAATATACCCCATCATCCACATGGTGTGATCATGGACCTAATGGCTTTCAGTCATCCGTGTGGTCATTAACAGCTTGAGGACCTTCTAACGGATAGAACGATTCTAGGGCATAACTGAAAATTGGTTCGGGTTTAATGTTTCAAACAAACACGCACTACATGTGCTTCGGGTCCAACCCTAGCAGCTGAGACAAGCTACCCCAACCTTCTTGGCAGCACATTAGTGCCAGTCTTAACAGGATAAACTTCTCCAAGTCTATCTAGCGGCTAAGAACTTTCTAAACTAACACGAGTCTCATAAGTGTCCAGTTTAAGGGTAATTACACAGAAACACACCAAATATAACATGAATCAATTATATACTTTTTTTCATTTACAATAAATGGATATGTACATCAATCTTATTGGAGCTAAGGGCACACACTGTCTAACAGGGAAAGTTGGTTAATGAGATTTTAGGGGTAATTACACAGAAACACACCAAATATAACATGAATCAATTCTATACTTTTATTCATTTACAATAAATGGATATGTACATCAATCTTATTGGAGCTAAGAGCACACACTGTCTAACAGGAAAAGTTGGTTAATGGGATTTTAGTTCTCATTGACCAAGATACTCATGTTCTTTTTTTAGATTTATGTGGGGTTACGTAAAATTTATTTTTCTTGTGTATAACCATCTCCCAGGTGGGTAACATTCCCCACCTAGGTGGAAGTAGCCAACACTTGGATGGGACAAAATTGCCCCTTTTAATAGTGGCTTTTTATGGCTAAAAAGGGTCATTTTCTTATTTACATAAGAAATAAAAGAACATGGGTAGATGCCCTTATCGGGTAATTAAGTGTATTTACTTGGATAAGTAACTTCCCCAAAAGCAAACGGGGCCTAAGTATAATTTTAGATTTTTTGAAAAATGCAATAATTGAGTGAAGAAAAATTAAGATATCCAACTTTTTTACCCTAGGCTCCATTCGTTTTTCATTTAGTCATTTACCTGTAAGTGCATTTATACATGTTATTTTGTTTCTCAAGTTAATAAAACAATGGCATTTTAGCCATAAAACACCATTTATTAAAAGGGGCAATTTTTTCCATCATGTGTTGGCACAGAACCAGCATGACCTAAGAATTAGAATCCTAAGCAAAAGGGTAACACTTTAACCCTTTGGGTACATGTTTGAATTCAGGAGTATTTTGGGTAAGGGGAAGGGTGAGGAGTGTTTTAGATACTTTGGGGGTAGAAGTGTCATTCTAGTAAAATCCATAGGAAGGGTATATTCTCATCAAAGTGTTGGCAAATTTGGATGGCAAGATTACCTCTAGAAAGGGAGTTTTCATGTGAAATGGAATGTTATCAGATTTAGAGCTAGAGAGGGAGTTTTCATGTGAAATTTGGTAGGGTGGGGGGTTTTCGAGGGTCCTGAACTCGTTGGCATGGTCCAGTTGATACAAAGAAGCTTGTATTTAAGGGATTCATGACTTTATGACTCTTAATCAATTGGAAGAGTTGAAAAAAATCTTACTTTGATCGAGGAGTAAACGAAGGAGTATCAGAGGTGAAATTTAATAGAAAAGTGGTTTAGGGTATCTAGAGTCTTTAGGTGGTGTTAGATAATCTTGTGAAGAGTTCAAGGGCGATTTGCAATTCAAAAGGGTTGTAGTGTCCGCTTTTTGGGAGGTGATGCATGTGGCAACTAGACTTGGTCGGGACAGGCTTTGCCTCTTTATCAATAGAAAATGTGCAGGTCCGAGCCCGAGCCTGGCCCGACCATCGAGCCTAGATCTTGAGCCCAAGCCTGACCCTTATATATAGCCCAAAGCCCAACTTGTACACAAAATGCCTTATTTTCATTATACTTTTATAAACTAATATTATATTAATTTAGTAATAATTTAATAAATTAATAAACTAATTGGTATTTCCTAATAGTAAATTAATATTTATTAATAATTTAAGAAATAAATATATATTATATGTATTTATTATATATAACATAAATGTTTTTTTATTATATGTAATAGTATCGGGTCAGGCTTATTTGAGAAAGCCCAAGCCTAGCCCGAAAAATGACCGGGCCTGGTATTTAAAGCCCGAGCCCACGGGCTTGAAGTTTTGTCCAAGCCCAAAAAAATAACGGGCCGGGCCGGGCCGTGCCATCGGGCTAGCCGGCCCATGAACAGGTCTAGTGGCAACATATATACTATATGGCAGCATATATGGATGGCATGTGGGCCATGTGACAATATAATGGATGTCATATCATATTTAAGTGTATTCAGTGACACATGGGCTATGTGACAACATATATGGATGCCACATGATGTTTAAATGTATTTGGTCACATGTGTATCGTGTAGCATTTAAATCTATTCAATAACATTGTGCTACATGGCAGTATATGTGGATGACACCTATTCAATGACATACGTGCCATATGTCAACATATATAGGTGACATGTGTATAAATGTATTCAATGACATGTATGTGTCATATGTGGTAGTATATATGAATGCCATGTGGCATTTGGATACACCATGTGGTATTATATATAGATGCCATACACATATATAATATTTTATTGTATCCAAACCAGTGTTTTCAACCCAATGTTGATCCAACCAGTTGAACCATTTGAATTCATCACTTGGCCATGATTCTGGGTCTAGTTCTAGTAAAACCTAGAATTTGTTAAAAAATTGTTGACCAGGTAAAAAACTGTTTGAACTGGTGACAAGGTCACGGGTTGCACATTAAATATGTATAAAAACTTTCGAAGGCCATAACGTTGTGCTCTGATGTCTGATTGGGGTGATCTTTTTTTTTATTTTGGATAACATTTCGAGATCTATGTGTCCTACAGTGATGTATGAGTTTTACCCCACTATTTTCATGATAAAAAACCTTTTTTGGCCTCAAGTCTTAATTTTTAATATTTTTTTACAAATAAAAATGAAAAACTGAATTAAATATATAAATTAAATATAAAATAATAAACATATTACATATAGAATATAATTATGCATTATTTATTGATAAATTATGTGTTTATACACATTTACATACATACATACACACATATATATATATACCTATAGACACACATGTATAGTTAGATATATAAAATGTTGACACAAATGTATAGTTAGTTATATATTGACACAAATGTATAGTTAGTTATATATATATATATATATATATATATATATATATATACTTAAAGCAGTTCAACCTCCAGGTTGGTTTTTAAAACATTGATGAAACTCCATATTTTACTAATTTTTTTAAGATTTTTGCCAAATACATCCCAAAAGTACAAATGTATATCCAAACATAATCTAATTATTTTGAAGAACGCCAAGCGCACCCTTTCTTCCCCATAAACTAACCCTAAATTTTCAACCCACCATCCGGGCAATGCATTACCCAATGCTGGGGCTTGGAAGGGGTAGACCGGATATAGACCTCACGTCGGGCAGCCAGTTTTAGCACCGAGTTCTTTGGCTTTGGCATCCCAAGGTTTTAGCATCAAACCATCTCCAGTCAGTTTCACCATGACAAACAATGTCATGTTAGATCATATTCTGCTGTGTATCTTTCGGCAGTTTTGAAGACCCAACCAATATAATTCCCTAAACTGGCAATAGAAGTCGAAAAAGGAAGGTTAAAGATAAGCCAGTCAAAAGATATCGTCCATTTTGCATGGATCAACCTTAATAAAGTCCATTCCATAACAAACGTGTGAGAACCGAGAACCAGAGCTCCAATTTATTTTTCAGAGGAGAGAGCATCAGAACACGAGGGACCTACGGTAGGTCTCTGACTGTAAGTAGAGGTTGCGTGCCCAATGCCCATGATCGTAGGCCATGGCAGAGATACCCAGTAGGGCTGCTTCAACTGTCGGGTTCCGACGAGATAAGAGTTCCGTCCCATCATGTTACTGTGCTTCTTTCAATTTCATTTTGACCCTTTTGACTCCTGTCCTTCCAATAGTAACTGTTTCTTCTCAATCTCACATCGTTTTCCATGAAAAACAATACATTCAGTATTGATACTCAACAGTCACAGAGCAGAGTAGAGAGAGGAACTTAATTACTTAACTAAAATGACAAACAGTACCGAAAAGGGGGTGTAAAATATTCTTTCTGACATGAAATGAAGGACACCGAAAGTGTTAAAAGAGATCAGTAGCTCTCCATTTTCACTCCTCTCTAAAAGCAAAGCCCCTCCCTCTCTCTGCTCTCAATTTTTAAGATATTTGTAAAACACTCTTCGGTCTTTACCTCCTTTCATGGCTTATCTATGTTTTTATCTGGTGTTTTCCCTTTTTTTTTCAGCTGAGGTAAGTGGGTTAAACACCATCAGTGATGGTGATATTGGGATGGAGAGCGGAGAGCTCTTGGGGCTGTTTGAAGTTATGAAAAACCTGTTAGATGATCCCAACTGGGCCCAAATGCATCCACATCCATGTACTGATACGCCGTGGCCGGGTATTCAATGTGAGATTAGCCAAGATCTACCTATCCTACATGTCACCAGAATTCATATCTCCCCTGAGATTGTCAACCCACCTTGCAAAACCTCGGCCAAACTATCCAAATCCCTTTTAAAGCTGCCTTATCTCAAGTCCTTCTCCATATTCAACTGTTTTCTCACATCAACTTTCACTCTTTCTCCATCTCTCTTTGGCATCTTCTCTTCACTAGAGCAGCTGGTTTTCAAGTTCAACCCAGGTCTCTCTGGGGAGATTCCAGCAAGTTTAGCCGAGGTTGCCAGCCTGAGGGTCCTAAGCTTGTCGAAGAACAGCCTGCAAGGAAGGATCCCACAGCAGCTTGGTCGGTTGAGTAGCTTGGAGCAGCTTGACCTCAGCTACAATAACCTTAGTGGCGAAATCCCTGAAGAGATTGGAGGGCTGCAAAGCTTGTCTGTCTTGGACTTCAGCTGGAACAGTCTGCAAGGGCAGGTGCCTCATTCTTTGGGTCAGCTTCAATCGCTCCAAAAGATAGACTTGGGATTTAACAGGTTCCTTGGAAGGATGCCTCCAGATTTAGGGAAGTTAAAAAGGTTGGTTTTGTTGGATTTCAGCCATAACTATTTAACAGGTCCAATACCAGAGACCCTCTCAGGATTGAAGGAGTTGCAGTACTTCTTGGTGGAAGGCAACCCTATAAATACAGGGATACCTTTATTCATAGGGGCTCTTAGCAAGCTCACAGTGTTGAGCCTTTCAGGGTGTGGGTTCAGAGGTCCAATACCCACATCATTTTCTTCGTTAAAACATCTCATTGCACTGTCTCTAGACAACAACAGGCTGAATGGCACAGTCCCACAGTATCTAGGGACGCTTCCCAATCTTGATCATCTAAATCTTAGTCAAAACATGCTAACTGGAGAGCTAGTTTTCCCTGAGGACTTCTTCAATAGGCTTGGCAAGAGATTGGAAGTCAAAGGAAACGTTGGGCTATGCACGAACCAACAACTCTACAAGAACATTTCAATGTATCTAAAGACACCGATCTGTATGGGTTCACCAAAATCTAGCAACAGTTCTCAGTCACAACAACAGCCAGATGATTACAAGAGATCAACACCATCTTGGTACTATGGCAAGGTGAGTTCCAAGGCTTCAACTGTATATCAGTGTTTTATTACCAATTTTTTGCGTTACTCCAATGTTCTTCTGTTGAGTCTATTCTTGTTTTGAATCCACTCTACTGTTCTCTGTGTGTGCGTTCAGTACTTTTCTCTCTCTCTCTCTCTGGCATCGGTCTTGTCTCTGATACAGTACTAGAATTCTGCCATTCGTCGTTTCTCTCTTTTTCGTTCAAAAAAAAATTTGCATTGACACTTGAGAAGAGGGAAGCTAATTTCGTGAAATAGTAATGCACGTAATGCACACGTCTGATTCGGGTTGCTTGCTATAAATACCTGTAGAAACCGGATTCAGTCAGTGCAAACCCGTTTCAACAGCCTTGCATTGAATTGAGAATATCTCCCCCATGAAATAAAACATAGAAGTACGGAGAGCTATTCGAACGGGTCTTGCACTGACTGAAGCCGATTAACTGCAGCGTGGGTACATTTTTGTCTCTCAGAATTGTTAATACCATGAACTTGACTTGAGTTTCGATGTTGTCCGCTCATGAATATTGGAGTCCATGTGTCGAGAGGGAGAGAGATTTCTGGGTTTCTTATTCTCAATGGGCTTAATGGGCTTAAGAGTGCTGGATGCCTAGGGCTGGGCATGTGCCTTTCTTTGCTTGAGCAGAGTTTCCATTCTTAATTTTAAATCAGTACAAAAACTTGTATTTTGCATTTTTTTTTTATGTATTTACACTGTAAATACAATTGTGTGAAAAAAAAATCTTCCACAAATTTCCAATTGTGTATCAAAAGACTTGATTTCCTAAATCCTATAACGATTTAAATTTCTTCTCTACCGTGCTTTTGTTTAAAATTAAGAAGAGCCTTTCATTTGATAAGAGTTATGTCAACTCTAGTAAGGGGTACAATGGTTTACAAAAAAAAAAAAATGAATTCATGTGGGGTGTGCAATGCTCTTGGTACAGTAAAATGAAAAGATTGGCTAAAATGAATTCATGTTTAGTACATTTTTATTTGAAAAATATAGAACAAAAACAAATTTGGATCTTTGCCTATCAAAATAGATATTTGCATTCCTTTTTCTTTTCAGGTTGAAAGTTCATATAACAATGCTGGATATAACATCCAACATGTACTTGTTGAATGCAATATGTTGTCTTATTTTGCAATGAATGGGTGGTTAGGGCTGCAAATAGGATATACCTAAACCCAAGTTTGATTTGTTAGGGCTGCAACTTGTATTAACAGATTTTTTTAAGGCCCGAGCCCGATCCTCATAAAAAGCCTGAAGCCCGGGCCTGGGCCCGAACCCGAAATTTAACCCATACTATTACTACTGTTGAAGCGGCTGAATATATATAGAGAGAGAAAAATTATAAAGAAAAGAATAAATATTATATTATTTATATATTTTATATAATATATAAAATATATAATGTTGAGTCGGATCGGGCTTTTTTGACAAATCCCGAGCCCGGCCCAAAACACAATCAGGCTTACTGTGTTAGGCCCAAGGTCAGGCCTGTGGGCCTAATTACATGACCAAGCCTGACTAGGGTGCGGGCCGGGCCGGGCCATCGGGTAAACAGGTCTAGTTAGATGTTAACATATTTATAGTAGAAACACCAAATTTGATGTTTCTTAAACATGCAACAATAGTATCTGATGCAGCAGTATCCAAATTGCGAGAGAGACTATTCCTATTACCCCTAAAAATTTCTCTGTTTTCTTGAACTGGAAACAAGAAGAACAGATTGCAGAACTAATCGGATACCGAAATAGACTAAAAATAGGAAACAGGGAAAGGGGAAAAGTGAATGAATTCTTCAATAAAGAGAAAAGGTAAAGTGCAATTATTGGTTAGTTTCTTCTGAAAGAAATTTAAAATGGAGTGAGAATGGGAAACCGGAGAAACCTATGAACATACCCCTGCAACTTGCAAGGAGAGACCGAGTAGGGTATTCTTTCTTTGTCAAGAGATGTAGAATGATAAAAGAGAAGAAAACCCTCGGAGATGTGTCCTACTTCGATTCCCGTTCTGGGCACGGTAGGCCTGGTTCGTAAGTGGGATGAGAGATTTTTGGGTGTCGTTGGGCTCTCTAGTATTAGTATGGGATGCATGGGAACTGAGCCTCGGGAGCAATGGGTGTGTAGTGTACGTTGACATGATCTCATCAGTTTTATCCCCACAAGCTTGTAACTGATGCAGCATAGTTTGTCTTGGTCGGACCCACTGAACTGTAGCCACTAAGACCAATTTTGTGCACTAAGCCTAAAAGATGGGATATGGGATTCAATTAGGTCAAGCATTCGATTTTAAGGGTCTGTTTGTTTTTTTTTAATTCTTATTTTTTAAGAGGAGTTTTTTTTTAACTTTAAGAGAAAAATGGTTGTTCATTTCCTTTTATCTCTTATTTTTTAAAGTGCAATCATACAATTTTTTGTTTTCTAATGATACCCCTAAAAAGACAAACAAACACTCTCATATATGAGGTCAAAATGGATATTTGATAATTTTCAGAATTCAAAACAATACTTTATGCATTCAGAGTTTAGAGAAAAAAAAGTTCACCAATACCAATATATATATCTTAATGTAATTATTGAACTTTCAGATGTCAAACTTTAGAACAAGATGTATACTCCTTGTATCCAAAGACGATACAAGGTCGAAGCTGAACACGTGGGAATCTACAAAGATTCCATTTGGCGAAAGGGGAGACCACCCCTTTCCTTTTAATATATATAACATTATACATGTGCTTGAATATTTTTTTTTGTAAAATTTATGTTTTTTTATTCATTTTTGTCTTTTTACTATTTATTTATGACATTAAATGTTAACACATTTGACCCAAAAGTTGAATTATTAATCTTTGCCAAACAATAAAATAATTTTATTTTTTTGTCAATTCTAAATTATGTATTTCATTTTCATTATCAATAAAAATAATTCTTTTTTATTATACTTATTTTTTTAACTTTATTAATGAAAATATCATAAATGTGTAATTTTTCTACACTTTTATAAATTTCTATATTTATTTCTATTTTAAAAATTTTATTATCTAACTATGACTTCATAGATTGATCAATTTGATTCAAATAGTTGAATTGCTTAGCCACCACTTGGATAAAGAATGATTTTGTTTTTTAGTCAATTTTAAAATATATGGGTTTATATTGTTAAAAATATTGATATAATAAGAGAAAATGGGTGTTAATACCTTTAAGTATAAGACTTAATGAAAGGAGATTAAATGAAGTGGAAAGTAATAATTGAAATTATATTTTCAACCCCTTACAATTAAAGATGAAATAAATAAATAAATATGGACATTTTAGTAGCCATTAAAGTTGGCATTAAAGTTTTAATAAAATAACTTTTATACCATTTCTCAAACAAAGAATTAGAGGATAATTTTAGTCCAAAAAAAACTTACACTCTACATTCGCACTTATATATATATACTAGTAAGCATGAAAGTTTTTTTGTACATGGCAATTCTAGATGATGATAATAATAGTAATAATGTATTAAAAATTTATATTAATATGTAATTTATTTTTAATAGTAGTGTAAATTTATAATTATAGATGTGGTCAATTTTTCCTATAATTCCTTTTGTATTTCTATGTGTAAAAATAATTTTGATATGTCATACATTTATTTCTTGTTTAATACGATAATTATATGATATTATACATGTGTCTGAACGTTCTGTTGCAAAATTTATTCTTTTTTTTTCATTTTGTATTTTTATATTTTATTAATTTTTTATTGATTTTAAATGCTAACAAATTTGACCCAAAAGTTGAACTATTGATCTTTGCCAAACAGTAAAATAATTTCATTTTTTCTCTATTCAAAATTATGTATTTAACTTTCATTATCAATAAAAATATTCTTGTTTATTACACTTATTTTTTAATTTCGTTAATAAAAATATCATAAATGTGTAATTTTTTTTACATTTTATAGTTTTTTATATTTATTTCTATTTTAAAAAATTTATTATCTAATTATGAATACATGAGTTGATCAATTTGATTTGGATGGTTGAATTTCTTAGCCACCACTTTGATAAAGAATGGATTTGTTATTGAGTTAGTTTTAAAATTTACGGATTTATATTGTTTAAAATATTGGTATAGATCTAGTTAGTATCATTTATTAGTGAAAAATAATTTTATATATAATTTAATAAGAGAAAATAGGAGTTAATACTTTAAGTTATAAAACTTAACGAAAGTGGATTAAATGAGATAAAAAGTAATAATTGAAGTTATATTTTCAACCCTTACAATTAGATATGCACTAAATAGACAAATATGGGCATTTTAATAGCAATTAAAGTTGGCATCAAAGCTACAATAAAATGACTTTTATACCCTTTTTCAAACAATGAAATAATTTTAATCTAAAAAACTTCCACTCTACCTATCCACTTACTTTTATATATAGATGATGATGATGTGACATAGTCTGACCCATTTAACCTGCACGGTCGAACCAAGTACAAACGATTCAGCCTCCAGGTCAATTTTTAAAACATTGTACTGTAAAATCTCCCTTTATTTTGACTTTTGAATAAATTTAGGAATTATTAATCGGTTTCTATGTGATAGACCTAGAACCATCCCAATTATAAGTGGGGATAATCGGATCTGACCCAATATGCTGATATCATTAATTACCTACGTAAATAATAACTAAAAAGTTCATTTTCGTTTATATTGTTCATATGTTAATAAATCAAGTGTTTTTACCAAAAGTATATTATATATTAATTGTCTATCAAATTTACCTTTAAAAAAATATATAATAAAAATTACAAGAAAACTGGAAAATAATATTAAATCTATGATTGGTTGGGGTCTTATCACATGTTCCGTTATTGATTGAGACAAAATTACAGAAAAAGAACCATTAAAATTGATTCATTTGCTTCAAATCAGTGTAGGCCAAACCCATTGACAGCCTAAATAAATAACAGACTGTTACCATGTACTTTGAAGGTGGTGACACTTAGCCCCCCAGAACTTTCGTTTGCGAAAAATTTTCTAAACTTCTAAATTTTAATACTTTGCCCTTTACCATTAGCATTCCGTAAATTAACTACAAAAAAAAAAAAACATTGAATCAC